AATGTCGGGCGACAATGAATTCAGGCGATTGACACATTGCCATGAATATACTTGATAACTGCTTGCAGACTTCCAATGGACATTGTTTATGTTTGGACTCTTGAAACAATAGAAAAATAAAGGGTTGGGCAACTACTCTTTTGTTTAGGCTTGGGAAGAACAATGCAAGCTTTTTACAAATAATTTCAGCTGGATGTACGTTGGTGGGCGGGTGTTGAGAGTTACTGGGCGGCCGTAAAACTTGATGGGCGGGCCGCCCGCCTAAAACCCCTTGTGGAGAACACTGTGTGTACCTTATTTAAAGAGTGAACTGGCTGTGTTTATTACTGAAAGGAAGATTGGTTTATCTTTGCAACTAAGTTTAAATCCAATGATACACTGTCCTCTACACTGCAAAACTGCTCTTGTGGAGGTTGGTCTGCGTCTCGTACATGATGCGATGCAATGGCTTTAAGTCTTGTCTCATAGATGGTGGTTTCCTTTTTAACATTTTCTACTTCTGTTTATCATGGTGACAATAATTGTCATCCATTAACATTTAAATTTTCACCTTTTAGAAAAGTATGAATTGAATACTACAAAATGGTCATTTCGATACAAGTCTCAATGAGTAGCTTGCATATGACAAAAATATAAATAAAATACAAATGTCAGGATTGATAAAAATCACCTTGGTCCCTCCTTGTGGAGCTATAACAATGCTAGATTTCAGATAACTATTAATGGCTTATTCTACTCACTAATGGATTACATTAATGTTCCGCGGACTCTTGTAAATCATTATTTTACAGCTAAACCTGCAAATTTTATTGATCACTGAATTTTAGTTATATTTTTGTTTAACTAAAAATAATTGGACTGTTTTCATAAACTGCACGAAAAATGTAGGGAATTTCATATTTGCTCTGTTAGATTTGACAAAAAGCACTCATAGAAGCTTGGATTTATTATATGCTGGATCATTCAAATCTATCTTGTGTATGCCAAGAATAAAAAAAAATGTTGTTCCAATAACAATACCCTACAATAAAATTTATTGCCTGTTCGGAACTTTTTTGGGTCAGACGTGAAAAAATGTACAAAATTGCACAACATTTCAATGAAACTGACCGAATTGAGAAGACATTAACTATATCGCAGGCTCGTGCAAAGAAAATAATAATGTGAACATAAATGTTACTGCAATGTTTATTTTGTTTGGCCTAATGACAAAGCACGTCTTGTCAATCACTTTAAGTGCTTGTGCTACTAAAAGCAAATATAATATAGTATTTTCACTGGTTTGAGAATTTTGGTAAATAACTGGTAAAGACGAGTTTTTACGGTAATTGTGCACTTGTAATGTTTGAATCAAACGCAATTGCCTTTGATGCCTCTGATATTTGTCTCTGATTTCCTCTCGGCTAATCAGCTGAGCCTCATGGCCTAATTTACATATGAATATGATTTCATTCTACATTGCAACTAATGGCATCTTCTTAGAATATTTAAATGCAACCCTGGCCTCTTTTCCCATCTGTGCTATCTTATTCTATTTTTTTTTTTTTAATTTTGATCATTATCCCTATTTGCTATATATTACTATTATGGGCACATCTCAAATAAAATTTATTGTATGCTTGATCATTAAAATGACTTATTTTATAGATACACAATTGTCAATATAATAAGCACATGTGCTGCTAATAGTGAAAATATGGTATAGATAGTTTCTCTGAAAAACTAAGGAAAAGACTTGGATAGGTTCATTTCAATGAAGTCTACTTCAGTTGTCAAATGTTGAGTTACAAATATGACAAATTTAGTTAAATTAACTATGGAAACAGTTTTATCTAACAATGTATTAGTGAAATAACAGATCAGAAAACAGTAATTTTTCTGTCCAGCTTCTGGGGTGTATAGCATGTCATGTATTTTGCGTACTGTTACAGGGCACAGTTTGAGGATTCATTGCAGGACCGCAGTATCTTAAAGTGTATGTGTGTCTATTCTGTTGTAGGTTATGGCTTTGTAAAGCTTGAATGCAAGACAAAGACGAGCAGTGGAGTGGTAAGTACCATAATCTCTATCATTTGAAATTTGCACCGACAATTTATTGGTTATGTATACAATGCATAAGAGTAATAGAAATTATACTGGAAACTGACTAAATTATGTAATTTTTTTTTAAAAATGTTTTGATAATACAATTTATATGAATGACTGTTCATTGTGGTCAATGAAAAATGTTTTGAAACGAAAAAATAATCTCACTTAATCTCGCATAAAAAAAACGCTAATTTTGCCAATTTTTCCATAATCTCAAAAATCTAAATTCACTGAGGTCACAAATTTACATAGTAAAGCTATACTCGCCTTGCACCCAATTGTTAGTAAGTTTTCTGAATAGTCGAAAAGCATGTAGTGCCCAAGAGTTCCTATGGATACCTTATTGTTTGGGTGCAAGGTATGTATTGTTCAACCCTTATCTGGTCAGGTCAATGTAAAAGTGCATGGAGCTGGTAGGATAATGGTTGAATTAGTAGAATTGTCGGACAGTTTCATTATTTTGGTGGCATGAATTCATGATAAAAGTATGATAAGCATGACATTCTATTTGACTGCAACGTCCTTAAATTGGATTAAGAAATGAATGTTGCTATGATTAGGTCATCTCACAAATGAACTCCACTTTATGTTGCCATTTTACTGGCATGGGTGATTTATGAGTTAACAATGGCAATTGGTACTATCACTTGTGATTTGTTTCCAACCAAGCTAAACATAGTTGATGGCTATAGTAAAATATTTTCTTGAACTAAAGCCAGTCTGGTAAACATGTATGCATGGTTGTATACAGACTTCTTTTCATATATAAAAATCTGTGCATTCTCGTGAATGGTATCCTCACAACCAGAGCACTAAAAACTTGTCTGTGGAGATCCCAGGAACTCCCAACTGCAATTTGTTTTGGAGTGCCTCTAATATTCAGGGAGCATAATTTGGGTTAACACAATCCCTGCTAGGACTAGTTTTCCAAAATTAGTAAATTACTAAAAATTTACAAAATATTACCGTAAAGTCGGTATTAGAAGCCACATCCTGCACTCGTTCTTTTTAAACAACTGAGAATCAAAAATTTACATACTCACTTGTAGATGCTCTAATAGAAGCCTTCCCTGTTGTATTGCACCATTTTATTAAGTTGCATCTTCTAATACAGATTTTACAGTAATACCAGTTAATTATGGGTTTCCTAAACAAATTGAGAAATACATTTATTTGTATTCACATGTTTTTGCAATGCTTCAAATACTTATTAAACTTAGATGAACTACCGATATTACAATGGGACTATGTATCTGCTTTTAAGAAAATATTCCTAATTTTCTGCTCTGGTTGTATAAGGTGAATATTAGTGGGGCTATAATTTGAAAGAAACCATAAGATTTACGACTGAAATAATTGCCATGTTCAGCTAAAAATGTGCAGAAGACCTAAGTTTTCTTGACCACTGTGTGGGTAACCTTGAAATTGACAATTTGGCTTGACCACATTTCTCAGACCCTTGATACGTTTGGAATGCGTTGTCTATAGCAACATGATTTAGGAGTACTCTCAACTTTTATTAGTTAATTGTGCATTTCTTGTGCCATTTTGACAGATTGACTATTTCCAATTGAAACCTATTGTATTCTTGTTATTGCAATTGATAATGAGATAGAATTGAGACCTTGAACTTTTTCATGTGAACTTTGCTGTACTATTTTTCTGATTATCAAAGTAGTGGCAAGTAGTAAAATCTTAGAACCACTAAAATTCTCTTGAAAGAAATTGTACTGACACTACTTTTTGAACTTTAGTTTTAACCATGTTGCAACAAGATTCACTATTGAAAAACAAATTTAGCGGTAACTAACTTTTGTCTAATTGTGCTCTACTCCAGAAGTCTATGATCTGCCTAACAAAGACTATCGGTGACAATTTTGTCCCAAGAATGCTTTTAAATGAACAGTTTGGAGTATTTTAAATCCTTATGAGAACTGCTTTAAGTTTGATTGTTATTTTTCTGAATTGTAGGAGTTCACAACAAGTGGCAACTCAAGCAATGACACCTCTAAAGTAGATGGTAGTTTGGAAACCAAATATAGTTGGAAAGAATACGGTAAGTTTTAAAAATGTACACCATGGTATTGTCAGTTTTCATGTTTCTGACCTGTTACTTAGGGTTATACCTGTGTGATTGGTTATACCTGTGTGATTGCTTGTACAAGGTTACTGGCTAGTTATTTTTTCATAATCTACATTAGTAATTTGTCAATCTTAATATTGATAATTGTAAAGAAAAAAAAATAACATCATAGTTGTTTCTCAATGAGTGTTTTCTCAGATTTACTGAAACAATAATTGAAAAAAATCCATCAAATTGAGCCATTTAAACAGTTGATACTGTCGGTGTCAATAAGACATTTAGTTCAGACCACCAAATTATAATGATGCATGCACAAATAATGTGTATTTGTGTTCAGACACTGCACCACCAATGTCAAAGTTTAGCAAAACGTGTGCTTGTTACCCGACCCCCACACTCACAATATTCATTCACAATTGTGAAAGTGACTACTCCACAGAATGTTTGTGGTATGTGACCTTGTGTATGATTGTACATTTTCTGACTCATTGTAATCTTGTCCATCTTTTCTTTACTGTTAGGGCTCACATTCAAAGAGAAATGGAACACAGACAATACTCTGGGTACTGAGGTCACTATTGAAGATCAGCTTGCAACTGGTCTTAAACTGACATTTGACACTTCATTCTCACCACAGACTGGGTATGTTGCATTTTCTACTTGTATCATTACTCTCCCAGCAATTGGTTGATTTTTGATTGCAAGTTATGATGAAAAGAAAGTTTACCTAATTTATAAAAGTCATTCTTGTTTGTTGCACATTTTAGTAAGAAGAGTGGCAAAATCAAGTCTGCCTACAAGAGAGATTATATGCATATTAACACCGATGTTGACTTTGATTTCGCTGGCCCAACTGTTCATGGTGCTGCTGTCTTAGGGTAAGCCTTTATTTCTTATTGTATGATGTGGCTACAACCTGCTTTCCCACCGTATTTATTCTGAATAGGAATAGAAAGTATGCAGTGGAGTCGAGAATTTTCAAGTTTCTGAAGGTTGAGAAAAATTCTCCAAAATTGCATGCTTATCCTCGTATGAGCTTATATTCAGACTTGTGGAGTTTGCATGTAAACAAAACTTTGAGTGGCATTCAACCTTAAATCATATTTTTGTGAAACACTTCACTAGCTCTGCAAGTCTGTAAAAACCTGGTTGCACTGACCTCATTGTACAGTTTTCAAGCAAGTTCTAGCTTCCTAATGAATTTACAATTTACTTTCTATGTACAGATATGAAGGCTGGCTAGCTGGTTACCAGATGTCATTTGACAGTTCTAAATCTCAACTAACAAGAAGCAATTTTGCCCTCGGGTACAAGACTGGTGACTTCCAACTACATACCAATGTGTAAGTATAATCTGCCTTGTGTCCAATAGTTTACAAAATCTTTCTCCACTTATGTGAATGCCACCATAGACAAGTGCCCTCTAGATGGCAAAATATATTAAATGTTCCTATTTGCTTCTGTGCATCAAATTTATGTGAAAGTGAAGAAATTCTAAAATGTGTTAACGTCAATTAAAGCTGGGGAATCATCTGCCCATGCATCAGATGGCCATAGCCTGTTAATGTTTACAAACAAGTGCCTATCCATCAGCCTTTGCGTTTTTATCGTGTGTTATCATCGCTTGGGACTCAATTCCTGTGTCCGCTTTAATGTCACATGATTGACAATTCCTATGACCCCCAAATTGTTTTTTTTTTAAAAGATGCTCATTTATATCGTTGACAGAAATAGGGTGCTGAATGCGACTTCCAGCATCCTTGTAGTGTTCACCAGTCAAGGATCATTTATTGGGCCTTCACCTAAACAATTATACTTTGGAAAAATTTTCATTATAAACTGTTGACAAAATCAAACACAATGCTGCTTGCTCTTAGCTGTTTCCATGGTAAAAGCAACACAAAGTCATTTATTGTAAAGTATTTACTTGAGAAATCTAACATCATTAAGTTACTTGTTTGTCAAGCAAAATCTTTTTGTTCAAATTTGGAATTGGTGCGACTTGTTACAGTAACACTAATTGATGGATTCAGCTTTTTGGCGCCAATCAAATTATTCAATTTAACTGAGGTCAAATGCAGTTTTTCCTAACATGATCATGCACTGGTTTGTAAGGTAGCCATAGAAGGCAGGCTTTAGCAAAACCATGCGAATCAGATGATGCATCATTGCTTTTTCTTATAATCTGCAGATGTTTACATTTTCCATTCTCAAAATTAATTTTCTGTTTCAGCAATGATGGCTCAGATTTTGGTGGTTCAATTTACCAGAAAGTGAATGATAGTCTTGAAACTGGTGTGACATTAGCTTGGACTGCTGGCAGCAACAACACACGCTTTGGTCTTGCTGCCAAATACATATTAGATGATGATACATCCATGAAAGCTAAAGTCAATAACTCCAGTCAAATTGGTCTGGGCATAACACACCAACTTAGATCAGGTAAGTGAAATAACAACTGACAATCTGAGATGGGGGCTCATGGATTTGGTTCTGCCCATTGGTCTACGTCACATAACTTCAAAACTTGTACAAATTTAGTGCAGTGGCTTAGCAAGCTTCTTTACGATTCATTAACATTTTTAGGTAAAAAATGATAACTTTTGGTCAAAAAATATAGTAAAAATGACGTTTTGGCAATGCACTAACCAATTTGATTCAAACTTCATGTTGTACACAGAACATTACATATATTGATAGATAAAATTTCAAAATCAATTAAAGGAAGCTATGTCTTATTGAAAGTAGTTTCCACAAGTTTGAAAGAAGGTTTGCTTTTTTTGATGTTGTCACTGATAAAGGATTCATACAAGTTTTTTTTTTTTTTCCTCTCCCAGGAATCAAACTCACATTAAGTGGTCTGATAGATGGTAAGAACATCAATGCTGGTGGACACAAGCTTGGTCTTGGTCTAGATCTTGAAGCCTAAGCTATATATATATCGCATGATGTTATTGTTTTGATTAAACACAGGTGCTACGTACTATTGTTGTGAACATACCTGACACCTGTGTGGCTGTGTTTAGTAATGTGATGACAGTGCTGTAATTTAATGCTGTGGGCCAAATTATTAAAATGGTAGCATATTTCTTTTTGAGATAATAAATGTAGAAAAAGCGGATGTTGGCTGCACTTTGGTTAACTTCTTCTCTAATCACTTGCATGGGCACAACAAAACTCTGCTACATACAAAACTACAAATGCCCATGACTAAATTTGCAGAAACGCAGCAGAACAAGCTGGTTGCTTCATTTGTGCTTTCAGCTTTATTTTATTGCTTTAGCAAAGGCCTGGTAGAAATAACTCTTGTTTGCATGTTATCAGTTTCACTTAGGTGGCTGCAGAAACACTTGAGTTTAAATTCTGTACATATTTCATGATCCAAGGAATATTGAAGACTAGTTTCTTCAATTATCCCACCAATTTAAGTAAGCCCAATCTTCATCACTAGTCTGCACTTCCATTAAGTAAGTTCCAATATACAGGATCATTTTTGACATCTTCCAGTCTGCCATATGGCGTTACATGTTTGTTTTAGCATCTGCTTTTCTAAAGATTTAGTTTGTGCATGCCCTTTTTGTAGCCACCTTCATTTCGTAAAGCAACATCTGCTTTGCTGTGTCCTGTGCCCAGTTCCCCCCCCCTAGTTTTTTGTGAATAATTCAGTCTATTTATATAGAGACAAGTGATTTGAAAATGCTTCTTGTTGCAACTTGCTGTAGAAATGTTACTTTTGTTTTTCAAATACAATGGATTAAACGACTAATGTCATCCCTCAAAAAAAACTGTCATCTTTGATTTTTCATTAACTCGCCAAGTGCCAAAGTTAACACTAGGCACTATTCACAAAATAGTTCCATTTATCTTTCCACAGGTAATGTCACTGAAAATTTACAATTTTGTTTCTATCAAACTAGTAGCAATGGCATATTTTGTTTGGTCCAAGATTGTGACTGAATTCAGTGAAAAATTACAAAAATATGAACAAACTTACTCCATTTTGAAAGGGAAAAAAGTGGCTCTCAGAGTTGTACACTAAAGTAAAATTGTATTTTTATATAATTTATTCCCACTGATTTTTTGAGGAATTACCGGTTAATGTAAAATGGAGGAAAAGAGGGTACATTTGCTGGATTTAATTTTCGCTGAATCGTCCCTTGAGTGAAAATGAATTCCAATCAAAATATTTTACAGTATTCAAATTCAGGATGCTAACTGGCTGTCAAATATTGAGACTGTAAATACAGAACAAGAAAGCGTAGTTTATTTACAGTCAGTTTATTTACAAGGGATTTATTTTTCTTCTCTACCCACTGGAAATCTAGTCTTGTGCTCATTTGGCATACAATCAATACAAACATATAATCAGTTGTAAATTGCAGAAAAATGAATGGGTTTTCGATCTCATGAAATGTGCAGATTTACTGGATTCTCTTAGGTGGTGCCTGTATACTGATTTGAGACATGATCACATTTGTTCCAAGACTATTATAGTCGGAACAGATTTGAGTATTAGTATATGAATAGCATGTGGATTCTAAACTATCAGTCGCCATCATTGTGTTAAGGTGGAACAGAGGACTGAAGTCATTCTTGCTTCCCACCCACCCATAACTGGTTTCTGTGGATGGGCTTAGAAGTGTCAGAGCAGTGCACAGATCTGGATAAAGTGGTCTCGTCACAAATTTCTCCCAAGACAGGAAAGTGTAGATCAATCTATACTCAAGTCGCAACACTGGTCACAGACACCAAGTAGGATAGAGAGGACGCATGGACTTCAAAGTTGATGTTATAGCCCTCTGGCGGCATGAGTTTACTTCCTGGCTGATAACTATTGTGACGTACGTCATAAGGGGGCTATGAAGTCCTGTGCGTTAAAAGCAGCTGGTGGAGATGATGCTTTGGTTCAGTGAGAACAGCCTGTTTGCTCTGTGGGGAACACCCCTGATAGAGCCGAGCCGAGCCGAGCCGAGCCGAGCCGAGCCGAGCAGTGTGGGTCATTTCATTTGGCAACACTGAAATGTCATTCCAAATTGCCCAGCAAAACCATGGTTTCTCCTACACTGTCACTGCAAGTAGCAAAGCACCAGCTGAGATTCATTCACTAACTGGTGCGACTTTGAATTTAAGGTATGCAGGTGCTTGTGTTTGACCTTTTGCGACTCCTGGATTGCTCATTAAAAGACCATTTGAAAGAGGTGGCCTCAGCCCTGAATGTCTTCCGTGTTGGCACACACACACTTGCAATCTGCCCACAAGTCAGGAAAAACAACAGTGACATTCAAAATTAAGAACAAATCAACATTTGACCCACAATACTATAGTTTTCCAGTCAAAATGACCTCTCAGCAGTCTTTGTCAAATTTCATATGACATGAGCCCATTCGCATTGGTTATGACTAAGTTCAGGGAATATTTATACCCTTAGAACTTTGCAATCGGAAACTGCACTTTTGAAGATCCAAGGCAAAAAAAATCCATTTCTTTTATGAAAACAATGCGGCGATTTATGTAACGTCTAAAAAAAGGTCTACCTCCGCATATGTGGGAACAAAATATTGCGCCACCAGCGGCATTCCTCCTTTTTTCTGAGCGCGGAATGAATCTATAGTTTTACTCATGTTATGTTCTATAATATTCAATTATAACCACGTTTCCTAGAATCAACGTTTAATTTCGAAATTGACGTTTTAAAAAAAAATAAAACGCTATTTTCATTGATTAAAGTTAAACAGAAAATAATATATCATTGCAGTCAAGGCCGGTGATAACCGTGACGAATATTGATCAGGTTAAAAACGATAACACGTCACAAAGTCCGAGCAGCGACACTCGATCGATATATTAAATCCATGGTAACTCAGTCAGACAACAAAATAAAACAAATAACTGTTGAACAAACGTGTACTTTCTTTTGTTTGTCAAGAAAATTATATATTTTCTATTCATGTATATTTTTTACGTAATCCAACATTGAAAAATACGAAAGCCGAGAGAGGCCTTCCTAGTTCTAACTTCACAGTTCCCACTTCTGAGTTCCCACTTCCAACTTCACAGTTCCCACTTCCTACTTCTGAGTTCCGACTTCAAACTTCACAGTTCCAACTTCCTACTTCTGAGTTCCGACTTCCAACTTCTTACTTCCAAGTTGCAACTCCATAACGTTGCAGTATGGGATTGAGCTCATGCACATGCGTGGCAAACAACATGGCCGTCAATAGCCAGACGACAGAGTAAGTTCGATATTCACGATTTTTATTATAATGTAAACGGTTATGAATCTTGAGTGTTACACAAACATAACAGTGTTTTAGGGTGAATATGTTGAAAATTGATAAGTTATACCGAGAGGTACGCTGACATGTGTGTTTTTTTTATTTGAGAAATTGATGAACTAATTCAGGAAGCCATGATAGAAAGACTATGTTTTCATATTTTATCGGGATTTACTGTTCCATAAGTACATCTCGCTATGTTTTTCACGGGGATGGGGTGACTTTTTTCTCAGGGATATTCAACGGCTATATAACAAGGGTGGAGGTACAGTAGTTGTCTGGTTTGGTGGCACCAATGTGGTTAACATTAACTGATGCATAATGACATAAACAATTAATCATTTTTTTTGGCTAATAGAAAGGCATGTACATTGATATAAGGTCATTCACAAAAAGTCGGAATTTATGTCCAAGTGCATTTTTTTATTTTGATCTGTCTGTTCTAACACAAACATTTTTAATGAATGTTTGGTACATTCAATTTAACGAAAGTTGACTCACAAACAACACATGGCTACCGGATTCATGAAATTATGGTCCAATTAGCTACCAAAATTAAACGTTCATTTCAAGCACTGGGATGAGCCCTGGCAACATATGGATAACCAAAAATGGGCGTAAACTGATGACAGGTCTGTAGCAATCTTTGACGTCAAATGTTGCTATATACAGGAATGCCAATGTTGTCTAAATCCCCACACTCTCCTCTTCCCCCTGGTGGAAAGCATTTTTAAGTGAATTATCTGTGGGAAAGGTAATATTTCTTATTATTCTTAACTACTCTATATATAACCCAATTCAAATGTAGGGAAGTGATTATAAAATTACCTTTAAAACTAAAATGAAATAAGTGCACATTCATCTAGGGGAAATATTTCAGTTCTATTGACAATGAAACAAAAAAATATTGAAAAATGTCTGAAAAACTGTCTGACTTATGTAACTGGATACTTGAACGGTATTTTTCATTTATCCCTACAAAATTCTTAACTTAATATTTTTTTTTAGGTTTTGTCT